GCCAGAACCTGTTCGCTTGTCAGCACTGCCCGTCCTCGGGGCGTTCCATGGACTCACATCTCGTCTGAACCGCCACTTCCACGAACCGAAGCCCTGCGGGCCTCGTCCTCCAGCGTCTCGCGCGTGATCTTGTCGCTCTTGGCGATGCCCGGGTTCGCCGCCTTGTCGTCAACAGCCTGGTTCAGGTTCTCCTCGAGAAGCCTCTTCTTCATGAGGTACCGCTCCTTGCGCTCCTTCTGCAGGCCGGGGCTCTCGAGTTTGGTCATGACGAAGCGGACGGCCATCTGCACGACGAGGTAAAAGTGTTCGGCGAAAAAGACGCTGAGGAGCACAGCCACGGCGTTAATGTCCGATCGCGCGCCGGCCGGCCCGTCAGGGTTCTTGCCGCTGCACAGCGAGACGATGCCGGCGCTGGTCAGGGTGCCGAGCCACGACAGGAAACCAATCGCATCGAGCCACGGGCCGATCGAGTCGGCGCGCCACGGGATGGGACGCCTGCTGCTGATGGCAATCTTGACGGCGTCAGACCGCAGCTCGACCCAGTTGTTGATCAGGAAACAGCACGCCGTCAGGGGCCAGGCGACGGAGAAGAGCGACAGGTAGCCGAACTGGATGACCATCTCGCGGTAATCGTCCGTCACGTTATACGTGGGCAGAAGAACCTCGCTGCGGACGCGTGCGAGAAAGTCAGCCTCCTCGGGAACATCGGGGACCTGGGGGCCGGCACTGCTGCTCGAAATCTTGGCCTGAACTTCCTTGGCCTCGTCGAGGACCTTGCGCTTGACGTAGGGGAGGACAGTCTCGGTCAAGAAATTGACGACCTGGGCCGTCACGGTGAAGTAGAACATCTGGTTGCTGATGCGGGCCGGGTTGATGACGAACTCCTGGGTGGAGAACTTGTCGCCGGGGGCGATCTTTTGGGCCGCGGCACGCCAAAAGTCGAGGTATGGCAGGAGCAGGTTGCCAAAGGGGATGTAGATGAAGGCCGTGAAGAACAGGGCCATGTACGACGTGAGGAAGTTCAGGACGAACTGCTTCTGGACGAGGGCGGCGTGATGGGCGTCGATCGTCTCGTAGTTTTCCATCTGCGTGAGGCGCTCGGCGAACTTGAGCAGAACAGTGCTAAAGGTGGGCGTCATGACGACGAGGATGACGGTGGGAAGGAAGGCCTGGCACGGGTCAGCCGTCGGGTGAGGGAGAGGGCGCAGGCTGGCACGTGAGGAGCAGGCCGGCATGTGAGGAGCAGGCTGGTACGTGAGGAGTAGGCTGGTACGTGAGGGAATGCAAGACGTGAGAGACGCACCAGATATTGCTTGAATGGGCCGTTGTAGACCTCGTTGATGAAGATCTCGAGCGAGTTGCACGTCACGATGAGGGTGCCCAGCACCAGGATGCAGGCGACGGCAAAGGGAATCTGCAGGAGCTGGGTCTGTAGGCGCCTGAAGGGCGAGTAGACCTTGACGGGCTCGCCGGTGACGGGGTCCTCGGCCTCGTGCTCAAACTCGAACTGCGGGCGCGGGGTCTGGATCTTGGAGACGCCGCGGACCCCCCACTGGACGGCCAGATCGATTTCCTTCCTTTTCCAGAACTCGAAAAAGACGACCGACCACAGACAGCTTGCGAGGGCGTAGAACCACGAGAACTGGCCGAGCAGCAGCCAGGCGGAGAAGCCGGCGGCGGGCGGGGAAGACGAGAAAGGTGAAGTAGGACTGGGTGAAGGCGAAGTACAAGGCGACGTTCTCGCCAAAGGTGTTGCGGATGCCGTCGAGGTCGTCGTCGTCAATGGTGTACTTTGTGCTCATCTTCTGGATGAGCTTGCGGTTGAAGTCGTGGTTGTGCAAGGGGAAGAGGCCGGCGACGTGCTTCCAGGCGCCTGTGCCGGGCGTGATGCCGGCGCCGCCCTCGTTGCGGGGCTTCGTCATGAGGAGGTAGACGAGACGCAGACGCTCGGCCTCGGTCACGGGTTCGCTCTTGAGGGTAGCGGAGAGCTCCTGGTCGGGGCCGACGGTACGGGCGCCATGAAGCCAGTCACCGAGGCGTGAGCGGTAGATCTGGTCGGTCAAGACCTTGTCGGAGGCGATCTTGACGAAAATAAGCAGGGCGTCGGCGTCGCCGGGGCGCACCTCGGTGGTCAGACCGACGTTGACGAGGGCCTCGATGAGACGGACGTAGGCGGCCTCGGCCTCATGGCGGTCGGTCTGGGGGATCTGGTAGTGGATGACATAGTCGACGTTGTAGTTCGACCCGTAGCCGGGCTGCAGACTCCGGCTGCTATAGAGATTCTGGAGGGAGGCCATCTCGTTCGGTGGGCGGCAGAGTAGGGTGGGAGAGCAAGGACGAGAGGGCTAAGGGGCAGAGGTCGAGTGAGGCGAGAGGACGAAGTTTTGGAATGGTGCACCCCAGGGAGCGCGAAGCACGAGCCGGCAATGTCTCGCAGCAGCAAAGAAAGTCACCGGAAGCTTGGCAGCGCACAGAAAACTAATGACGAGGCAGCTCTGGCTGACCAAGGTTGCGTGAGGCAAGGTTGCTTGAGGTAAAGTAGGTAAGGTAGAGGTAGCTTGCGGTTGTTGGCAGATTTCGCTGGTTCGCTGGTGAAACGGGTCCGGATTCTGGCTGCGTGTCAACGTCATTTCGGGAAACAAGCTCAGCTGGATGGCCCCTGCCGCGGATCGCTGGGTGGGGGCGATGATGTGACGGCAAGCGGGGAGGGGGAGGGGGGTAGCTTCCCAGCTTCCCTCCCCTGTTGCGCTGAGCTCTGCCTTCCCTTGGTCCTCCTTGGTGTCACGGTGCCACACCTGTCAGGTCCACCTTGGTGGGGCGTCGAGGCGCTGTCTTAGCTAAGCGTGGCTGGGTCCTGTTTCCAGGGAGCTTGGGCCCTCTTTCGTCACGCCTTGACATGTGTCTGTCTGTCGTCTGTCATACGAGAGCCCCTCAACACCAAGGCAACCATCATCAGCTCGCTGTCAGCCAACTCATCGGCGTCCCCATCCACGAGGTACCATCCGCAGATACTGTATCGACACGCTTCCTCGCAGCGAGAACAAGACACAGATGGCCATCCTTCAGAGGCTGGGCCTCCGCCGGCGCAGCAGATTCGACCCTCAAACGCCCCTCGATGCCTTCCTCGACTCACCACTGCAGACGCTCATCTCTGCCCTGTACGCCCTCCTGCTGACGCTCCGCGGCCGCCCGTACGCCCCGCCAACGCACAATGCCATCCGCGTCGTCTGTCTCGCCGACACGCACGACCTCTTCCCCGCCGACCCCGTGCCCGAGGGCGACCTCCTCATCCACGCCGGCGACCTCTCCACCCCAGGCACGGCGGCGGCGCTGCAGGCGCAGATTGACTTTCTCGCGGCCCAGCCGCACACGCACAAGGTGCTCGTCGCCGGCAACCACGACGCCTACTTTGACCCGAACGCGCGCTCGCTCGCCGACCGCACCTTCCGCACGCCCCTCGACCTCAAGGGCGTCCACTACCTCCAGCACGAGGCCCTGACGCTGACCTTTGCCGCGCGCGGCGGCCGCCGCCTGCGCCTCTACGGCGCCCCCGACGTTCCGCGCTGCGGGCCCGCCGACTTTGCCTTTCAGTACGATGCCGCCGCGCCCCCCTGGCAGGGCGCCGTCCCCGCCGACACGGACGTCCTCATCACCCACACGCCGCCCTTTGCCCACCGCGACCTGCGCCTCGGCTGTCCCGCGCTGCTGGCCGAGCTGTGGCGCGTGCGCCCGCGCCTGCACGTCTTCGGCCACGTGCACTTTGGCCACGGCCGCGAGGCCGCCCACTACGACGGCGCGCAGGCCGCCTACGAGTCGCTCGTCGCGCGCAGGGGCGGGCCCCTGCGCGATCTGCTGCCGAGCGGCGCCTGGGTCGATGCCCTCAAGGTCGCCGCCTACGGGCTGCACGCCGTCGTCTTCAAGGTCTTGATGCTCGGGCCCGGCGGCAACACGGGCGGCACGTGGCTTGTGAACGCCGGGCTCATGAAGGGGAACAGCGGCAAGCTCGGGAACCCGCCGCAGGTTGTCGTGTTGTAGGGCGGTTTCGACCTGCTTGTACGGGGCCGTGCCTATTTCTACTTGCTATATATGTACTTGTCAAACATCATGTGCAGAGGCATTACTCAGTATCAATCATCATCAATCATCACCGGCAGAGGCATGTAGTACGTGTGAATTATTCCGCCATGGGCCCCTAACCCCAATGCTAGTAAACGCGACATGATATCATCAAAAGAGAAAGCCACACCGACAACAGAAAACCCCACCCCCCAAACGGAA